TATGACACATCTTCCCAGCACATTGGTATGAAATTTTTTTCGTTTCATCTTTTTTTTTTTTGTTAGATATGAAATTTGGGGATCAGGAACAAGCGAACGGTCTGTTATATGTACCGATGAATATTTTGGATTGCAAATTCGTGTTGCATCTCACCCAGTATGTGTATGTATGTGTGTACATGTGTCACATGTGTGTGTGTGTGTGTGTGTGTAAGTGTGTGTATGCATGTGTGTGTATGTAAGTGTGTGCGTGTGTGTGTATGTGTGTAGGAATTTACTCCTGTATTATAAATTCCTGCAATGAATGGGATCGCTCTGAAAGTTTTTTCGCTTTTGTTAAAAGTTAATTTTTTTTACAGAAATCGCAACTGGAAGCATTGTGGGGCAAGCATGTGAAGGTAATGGAAGCGATGAAAGCCAATATGAAAATGTCGCAAGAAGTGAACTCCAAACTGCTTGAGAATATCGACCTGGAGAAGAAGATAATTGCTGATGCGATTGCAATGCAAAATCCTTCCACAGACTCAGAGGTTTTTGAAAATTTTTGTTTTTTTTTTTCAGTGAGCACAGATTTTATTTTGTTTGAACTGTAGTAATTATCGTAATAAAACACCAGAAAATTTTCAATTTAAAATGGTCATTTTCAGGCAATGAATCTAATAATGTTGGGAAGTGAGATGGCTGAGGCGATGAGTGCAGCGCTGTTGTCTCCGTCAGGAAGCGATGAAATGCAACTTGATGAAATTTATGCCAAGGTCCGTTTGTAATTGCTTCATTTGTAACTATGCAGATTTTTGTGAATTTTGTAAATTTTTGTAAAAATTGTAAAAAAAAAACCATGTAAATTTTATGAATGCCTTAATTACTAGTCAAATGATTGAAATATGATGGTTTTTATTTGATATGTTTTCCTTTTTCCTCTCCCAGTTCCCTGTTCAATATTTTTGGCTGTATCAGTACCTGAAAAAGTCCCTTTCTTAGTTGCTTTTCTTGGTACTGTGGCTGAGATCTCACATTTAACTGCTTTGTTTATGATTTTGATTTATAGATGTGATTTTTATTTTTGATTTACACACGCGTGATTGAAAGGTATTTTTCAGAAATTTGGATATCCAAGTTCTCAGGCAGCTGTAGCTTCAAAGTCTACAGATGATAGTGGTACATTTTTTGCTTGCTTTTTCACTCGTAACAAATTATTTCCTTATTACTTGAATAGTACAGTAGAAGGATTCGACTTAAGTGTCATATACAAAAAGGCATTTTACGATGCAGCCTGTATTTCATCCCTTAGCTGTAAACACAGACCGGACAATGCGCACGGGTAGGAGTGGGAATCGTCAGTACAGCTTCCTGCCAGCCATGTATTGATGGAACATGTAACTATTTTGCAAGATGACGTGAGAGAAAGAGAGAGAGAGATTGAAATTGTTTACTGTCTCTGGCCTGTTAGCGGACGGAATTTGTACATTAGGCTGTAGTTCGGACGACTTAGATGCGCTTTTTTGGATTTTTGTGTAACTCAGCGAGGTTCATTGCACTTAGGGGCCTAAGTACCTTA